TAATTAAAAGTACTTGCAGCCAATCAAAATGCACTGTACATGTAAAGGCTTCCAAAATCTCTTTTCTCACCAATATATAGCACGAATATTCACACTTTATATTTGATTATTTCTGATACTATTCAGTAAATTTTTATATTGCTTTGCGCACAACATAAACATTATTTATTGGTTTAGATATGAATAACATTATGTGCTAAACAAAAAAACATTTTTTAAATGAGAAAAAAGCTTTTTAATCAAATTAAAATGGAAGTTTTATAATAAGTTAAATTTTGGTAAATACGTGTAAAAAATTTTAATCAAGAAGCTTTTTTGTTTTTTAATCGACACCATTAGTTGTTATCGCCTTATTAAAAAGAATGACCACACATACATATATACATATACATTATATATATATATATATATATATATATATATATATATATATATATATATATATATATATATATATATATATATATATATATATATATATATATATATATATATATATATATATATACATATAATGATAGATAGGCAGATTATAGAAAGTTATACGATTTATTGTCTGTAGTATAAAGGGTGCTTATTTTAAATCAAAGAACAGCGACGATTTTAAATCAAACTTAATTTTGAGATAATTTTAAATCAAAATTTCCTTTAACGCATTTCGCAAATGAAACACTGTCGTCACAGTAAAGTTTGTTACGTGCGAAAGACAGAAAATGTTTAAGTATGTTGATTTAATAATTAACAAGTTCAAAAACATACGAATATAGTGGCGTTGAAAACTTTGTTTAAAAGCTGGTATCTACGTTAGTTATTAGTTTAAAAACAATAACGAAAAATCAAGATCTAGCCCCACTTGAATATCTTTAAATGGTTTTACGTCATTTACGTATGGTATAATTCGATTTGACGTGGGATTTATATTATTGCTTTCGCATCGATAATAAAACAAATAAATCGTTAAAGGCTTTGCTTTATATAAATGTTTATATATAAAAAAATATAATGATTTGTGTGTGTGTATATATTTGTGTATATATATATATATATATATATATATATATATATATATATATATATATATATATATATATATATATATATATATATATATATATATATATATATATATATATATATATATATATAATCATCAAGATACAATGCTTTGCTGATGAAAACGATCAATTGTTAAATCTACTAGAGCTTTTTACTAATAGAGCTTTTTGCTAACCCATGCATACTACCCTTAACATTCTCAGAATACAAACGCAGCTTTGCTGTGGTCTCTGATTTCCTTATTATGTTTAAACCTTATAAAAACGTCCAAAGAACGTTTAAAAAAGTGCACCGTGCCCACCGAGATGCTAAGATAAAGAGTATGGCTAGTTTATTAGCTTCATAAAAATCCACTGAAACAAAATTTTTAAGTAAATTTGGAGAGTGGGGAGAAGTAAAACATAAAACAAATTTCCAGAAAAATTTTAACATCTTTTTTATATAATATCATTAAGTGTCTTTAAACTAGACTTTTAATATTCATAAACAGTAAATTAAATTTTTATTTAGTGTGTATGTTTATTTTTTTTGTAATTTTATGTAGTAAAAAGATGTTTAAAAAGTTTTAATGATGTATAATAACTTGTTTATAATGGCAATAAAACGCGTTTTATTTTAAACGCATTTATATTTTTAATGTTAAAAACTGAAAAAATACCTATGAAACAATATGGCGAATTTGTTTTGTATTAACACATAGTTTTTATGTAAACAAAACACCCTTGTGATACTGTCTAAGTAACTTTTTTTGCAGCTTTATACCTCAACATTTTCAGGAAACTTTTTTGTTATATTGTTTTTGTTTGTATTGTTTAAATTTGTTTGTGAGTTATTTTAAGAAAATAAATTGTTTTACAGAAAGAGACTATTTTTCAAAAATAGTCAAAAATGATGACGTTGTTCAAATAGTATTGTTAAGTTACCTGCTGCACTTGTGTCATATTTGTTTAAGTTATTTATGTAAAAATTTTCTAGTACCAGACCTATATTGTATTTAACCATGAACAGTATCTTTCAGTAAATATTTGTTTAAAAGATACTTATTTGTTCCAGTAAATGTTGAGCATAAATAAGTTCTTTTGAACACTTGATAAGTTTTTGGAGTGAATAAAACGGTTCTTACTTTGTAACTACTTCCCAATGCTATATTCACATACGTATGGTAGCTATGTATAAATAAAAAGTAAAGAAGTATTAGATTAAGTGGTGACATTAATGGTCTTACTTGTAGGACAGACCTTTGTTCTTTGATATATGTATGTTTATAAACGCAAAGTTAATGCAAGGTTCCAAATAATGTAAGAAATCTTTTTATTAAACAGAATTCTTGAAAAATTAGCTATCTATTTATATATTTTATATTACTCAAATCTATATTATTTGTTGGTAGAATTCGAGGTACTATTTTTCTATTGATTAAATTGACATAAAATCTAATTGTTGTTTTTTTTCAATATTTATAAACAATTTGTTTTAAACCACAAATTCAATTTAAATCACAATATTTGTTCTTTTAAAGAGATCTTAGGCTGTTAAACAGTAAAATAAGTTTGTATTATTTGTAAAACTATTTAATAAAAACTATATAAAGGTCAATTATTCAATTTAACACAGAAGCTAAACAAGAATGGAACCGTAGAGTATACTACTTCGATTTTTTTGATTGTTTTAAGTTTTTTTTATCTATAATATCTATAATAACACATTATTGCCCAAGTTGTTATGTTCAATGTTATAATAATAATAATAATGTACACTGTGACAACTGATGAAATCAATTGTGGAGCACAACAACAGAAGATGTTGTGCTATAACAGCTATAAATGTTTTATAATAGCATTGTTTACTTTTCAATGTATATAGATATTATTTAGTATTTAATAAATAATTTTTGTAGTAATCTGATTTATCAAATTTATTTTTGAATTGGTCAATTGTCATTGATTCGATAATATATGGTGGTAAACCATTCCAAGCATTTACGACTCTACAGGAAAAGAAATTATATCTATAATTGCTCTTACAATATGCCTTTGTTAACTTTTGGTTATGACTACGAAAATTGTAAAGTTTTAATTGAACTTGAGATGTCGAGTCGTTTATCCAATTTATTTTCTCATAACCGTTTTGTATTTTATATTGAAAAATAAGATCTCCTCTTAAACGGCGTTCTTCTAGAGTTGTTAATTTCATTAACTGTAATCTTTTTTCATATGGCATTTTTTTAAAAGCTGGTACGAGTTTTGTTGCCCTTCTCTGTACTTTTTCTAACTTTAAGATGTCTTGCTTCAGATAAGGGAACCATGCTTGGATTGCAAACTCAAGATGCGGTCTTACAAAAGTTGTATATAATTTTTTTGTCATATTTGAGTCGAAGTATTTAAAAGTTCGTTTAATAACAGCAAGAACTTGATTTGATTTACCAACAGCTTTATCAATATGACTGGTCCATTTTAAATTAGATTGCATCATTACTCCTAAATCACGTTCTACTTTTGATGCTGCTAATATATTATTCTGTTGAGTTTCAGCGTCGAACATTGAATAAGTTATACAAGGATTTTTAAAACCAATGTGCATAATTTTACACTTTTCATAGTTAAATTTCATTAACCATAGTGACAACCATTTCATAATATTATCAATATCTAGTTGTAATTTGTTTATACGGATATCTTCATCTGATTTAAAAATATTTATAATTTTACTATCATCTGCATACAATTTAATATTATTTTTTAATGTGTCTGGCAGATCGTTTATAAAAATGAGAAACAGAAGAGGCCCAAGGACAGAGCCTTGTGGAACTCCACTCTCAACTGTTAGCCATTTTGATACACAATCCCCTAAAATTACTCGTTGCTTTCTATTATGTAAATAGGCTTCTATCCAATTTAGAATTACTCCAACTATACCATATGATATTAACTATAATATGATATAAACTATAATATAATATTAACTATAATATTATGTTCATTATTAATTTCATTTCATTGTTCATAACGCAAGAAGACATTTTGTTAAAATTAACATCGTTATTAATAATTATTTATTTTAAATTCCGAAGTATTTTTTTAAATCTCCATAAGATTTATGGTTGAAAAAAATAAACGTATAATTTAATCAAATCAACAGAAAATAGAAAAATGATGTAATAATGATGTCACATTGAGAGTTTTTTCTTTTGTTATATTTAATTCAAAGTTTTTATTATTGTTAAAAAGTTTTTAACATGGATTATAGAAAATTAACGTCATAACTATATTGTTTGTTTTTCATCCATACATTTTGTTCTAATGGATTCTCTTTTTTATATATATATAAAGTTTTAAACATATATATATATATATATATATATATATATATATATATATATATATATATATATATATATATATATATATATATATATATATATATATATATATATATATATATATATATATATAATATATATATATATATATATTTTTTTTTTTTTTTTCTTTTTTTTTTTTTTTTCAACAGAAAAATCGTATATTTTTTAAAATGAAATTTTTGTTTTGTTTGTAGATAAATAAACTTTTCTTCTATTTTTTAGATGTTATTTAAATTTTTTGTAAAGAGGTTTTCTTGTTTTTCTTATTTATTCTTATTTTTATTGAGATCCATAGTGAATTTATGTTTTTTTTAATATGCAATTTTTTTTTTGAGCTGGCATCTGGAAGTTACTTAACTTAAAAACCAAGTAATCCTAAATCGGCCCTTGAGAGAGCATTATTAATTTAATATTAACCTTAAAAGAATTAAAAACTTTGAATATGGTGTTAAATTATAAGTTAAAATTTTGAAATATATGAAACTTTGTGTAAACTGTGCTTTACTTAAAAAAAAGAAGAACTTTCTAGCCTTGCTAACCTCATTTTTACATATTAACCGAAAATAATAAAATCTTATTTTAGGTTTAAGCGATATTTCTGATGTTGAAAGTGAAAATAGCGAAGAAAGCTCGAGTGATTATGTACGAAAACTTAAAATAAAACTAAAGTTATGCCGCGAAAAGATCAACGAACGAAATAAAGTCATACGTAGTCAAAACGATGAAATCGATCTTTTGCTTGATGACTTAGCAGTCAAAAATGAGCTTATTGAAGAGCTAAGAAAAGAACTTATAAGCTCGGAGACATATTTGCAGAAAGGTTAATAATTTTTAAAATTTTCTAATAGTGTAAAAAACACTAACTTTCAAAAATTTGTTATAAATACAACAATAAATACAATAAACACAAAGGCTACAAATTGATGTTTGGTTAAATCAACTGATGATAATAGTATTAAGAAGACTAATGGTTTTCATCCCATGCCGAACCAAATTCAATTTTTAACAGCGAATTTTGTTAAATATATATATATATATATATATATATATATATATATATATATATATATATATATATATATATATATATTTAACAAAATATATATACATATTTAAATATATATATATATATATGTATATATATATATATATATATATATATATATATATATATATATATATATATATATATATATATATGTATATGTATATATATATATATATACATATACAAAATTACAAAATATACAAACATACATGTATGTATGTTTGTATATTTTGTATGTTTGTATGTATGCTTGTTTCTAAGAGGAGCGTAATCGGGGCGATCGTTCCTCTCTCTCCCACCACCACCTTAAATTTAATAAAAATATACTTCTTTTATATTTCTTTAAATTTAACACAACGTGTTGTTTGAGGAAAAAGGAAATAATTTAAATAGGATGCTTAAAAATAGAATGAAATTTTAATAAATTTGGAAAATGCAAATTTTCTAAATTTAAAGTTGTTTCCCATCTGTTAATCTAACTAGACGCTCTGGATCCTCCAGCCCAAAAAAACCTTAAATATTGCCTCTCTCCTATATTAAATGTTCTGGATCCGTACCTGGTGTGTATGTATGTATGTATGTATGTATGTATGTATGTATGTATGTATGTATGTATGTATGTATGTATGTATGTATGTATGTATGTATGTATGTATGTAAGTATGTATGTATGTATGTATATATGTTTGTATGCATGTATGTATGTATGTATGTATGTATGTATGTATGTATGTATGTATGTATGTATGTATGTATGTATGTATGTATGTATGTATGTATGTATGTATGTATGTATGTAAGTATGTATGTATGTATGTATATATGTTTGTATGCATGTATGTATGTATGTATGTATGTATGTATGTATGTATGTAAGTATGTATGTATGTATATATGTTTGTATGCATGTATGTAGGTATGTATGTATGTATGTATGTATGTATGTATGTATGTATGTATGCATGTATGTATGTAAGTATGTATGTATGTATGTATATATGTTTGTATGCATGTATGTATGTATGTATGTATGTATGTATGTATGTATGTATGTATGTATGTATGTATGTATGTATGTATGTATGTATGTATGTATGTAAGTATGTATGTATGTATATATGTTTGTATGCATGTATGTAGGTATGTATGTATGTATGTATGTATGTATGTATGTATGTATGTATGTATGTATATATGTTTGTATGCATGTATGTATGTATGTATGTATGTGTGAATTTATGCAGTGCCGCCGAGAGGAGGGGTCGCGAGGGACAGTTTTTCCCGGGCGGCAGATATCCAAGGGGCGCCAAATGAAATGTAGGTACCTAAAAAAAAAAGGTTCTTTATATATAGTATAGAGAAAATTTGATAAAGAAGGGCTCCAATCAAGATTGCTATCCCAGGCAGCGTGACAGCTCTCGGCGGCCCTGAATAAATATACATACATATGTATGTATGCGGCTGCAACTGTGTTGAAACTATCTGCAAGCAATTTAAGGTATTCAAGAGAGAAACTTATTACGTCTGTCTTCATGTAGTTAATATATTTTGAAATACAGTTGCAGATCGTATACGATGACAGACTAAACATACTTGTATTATTGTAGTTTTTTTTTCTCAATACCGCTCTAACTGCAGCTTAAGTGCAATTAGTCTTTTACCAAACTCTTGTCTTTTTTCCCCAAATCTCTTTACTCTTTCTCTGCATCACGGCGTAGTTTAAAACTTACGCATCCTATCAATCCGGATTGAAAAAGGGACAATGTAGACTGGACATTTACTTGGGTAGGGCAGTTTCAAGCCTTGTATTTAAATAAATCAGTATTTTTTTCTATTGTTGTTGTTTTATTTTCTGATTACTTAACTAAGTTTATTTATTTAAACTTTATTTTAAAAGGAATTCTAGAAATGGAAACACCTAGTTTTTCAACGGAAACATCTGCGCAAATTGCAATTAAAAAAACAAACAATAATTGCACGATAGAAGGTAAAGAACTCTCAATTTTAAAGTTACGGGATTGTTATCACGAAACAAACGTTTTAGAAGAAAAAAAAGAGAAAGAAGAAAAAACAACAACCTCGGAAACAACAGAAAATTACAAAAAGAAGGATTTTGGTAAAGAACAGTTTGAAGTACATGAAAACACACTCCCCAGTATTTTAGAATTTAGTATTCACGATGAATTTAGTCCAAGAAAATGTTCAATCCAACAAAAAGTTCATCATAAAGATATTGACTATCTAAGAAGATACTCTTTGGCTATGAAACAGAGTAATTTTGTCAATACAAACGACGACAAAGATGATTGTTATGAAATTTGTAAATCAGAAACATGTCTTTTTGAAAGAATGCTTTTACAAAAGGAAATTGACCGACTAGAAATTAAAATCATCAAATTTCAGCAAAGTTTTGACAATCAAACAGGTATTGACAATGAAAAGTGTAAAAATCAAATAATTGACAAAGGTAAATTTTTTAATGCTTTAATAATTGTTTATTACTTTTACAGTTGTTCATTTTAAATTTAATCATTAATCTACACGTTTATAGCTAATTTATGCGTTAAACTGATTATTGTCTACAGCCTTATTAGTAACGTTTTTTAACATAAAACTTCTTAGAAAGCAACACAATTGATTGTAAAACTGAAAACATTATGAACGGAGCCGCATTTCAAATAGAAAAAGACTGGGATATAATTGAGCAGCAGTCGGTTCAGCTTGACAACCTTCATCAACAGTATATCGAACAACGGGATTTAAATTTATCTGGGCAACTAAGTCTTCGTATTGCTGAAACAACTATCACAAAACTAAAAGAAGAAGTTAAAAAACTTGAGTCTTTTAATGAAAATTTAAAAGAGACATTCCGTGTTAAAGAAAAAAACCTAGAGACTTTACTAAAAGAAAAGGAAACAGGTATAGAAACTTTGCATTTGATGGTTGTTGAGTTAGAAAATAGCCTCGCCTGTTCTCAAGTACGAATCGAGCGTATTTTAAACGAATCGATAGAGCTGAAAAAAACTGATCAAGAAAATAAACTTATTTTAAAAAAACAAAATGAGTGTATTGATAGTTTGAATCAAGAAATTAGAATGTTGCAACATAAACTAGAAATAAAAGAATGCTCGTACGAAAAAAGTAATATAGATATCAAAGCAAATGTTTGCAATGTTCAGTATTTACGAACTTTTTTAAATAGCTTATCTCAAGATTATAAAGTTTTAAAAAAAGAATATACCAGTTCAATGGAACTATTAAAACATGCTCTAGCAGGAATAAATGATACTTTGAAACTTCTTTTAAGTTATTTGCCGAACGGTGATATAGACATTGAACATTTCGATATGCTAGTTTTTGAATTAAAATCAGTTCTTAAGCAGTGTCCATTTATTTTGAAGGAAAGTACCATTTTTTTTCTGCAACCATCAATGAATAGTTACGAAAACAAAAAATCATTCAGACAAATACGACGTGAAAATAATGATTTAGTTATAGCGAACAAAGATCTCAAAAAAAAACTGGAGCTAAGCGAACAACAACTTCAAGTTCAAGAAGAGGTTCACCGTTTACAGGTGGATACAATTATAGATAGTCTTGCTAAACGTTGCAATGTTATTCCACCTATCATTAAAAAACCTTTAGTACCTAGTATACATTTAACTAACGTTGCTAAGCAACAAAACTCGCAACAGTTTTTACAATACTGCTTAAACCAAATAGAAGAACAGAAAACTCAATGAGAAAAAATGTGTTTGTTCTTCACTTTCTATCTTGTTATTTTTGTAAAAACAGATTGCTGCAATCTTTTTGTTAGCACTTTCATTAGGGACGTAAATTTTATAAATTTATGGATATAGATTACAAATATATATATATATATATATATATATATATATATATATATATATATATATATATATATATATATATATATATATATATATATATATATATATATATATATATATATATATATATATATATATATGAATAAATACTTTATTCTTAAGCATGTTTGCTGATGCATGAAAAATAATTTGCTCACTTTTAGTTTGTAAACTCTAGTTTTATTTTTGACGGTTAATAAACACCCGGATTGGTTGCTGTTACCTTACAATTAAAATCTTTTTTCGGTGAATTTTGTTTCATTTGGAAGTGAAAACAAATGCGATACCTTTGCTGATTTTTTTTTACTTTTGAATTTAGCTTTTGCCAGCTTGCGATTTTTTGCCTCTAACCAAAGAAAACGTTTTATTTATTTTGTACCCCTCCCATGTTGAATTTGCGATAACATTTGGCGATAATTTTGATTTCGAGTTTTTATATTTTTGATACCATACGATATGTTCCTATTAAAGTGAAGCCTATGTAAGTATTGTTATATGAGTATAACTTATCAAAGATAGACAGCTAAGGGAGCTGCCGCTATTACATAATTTAGATCTTCTTGTCTTTCTCTAAAATCATTTGCAGAGTATGGGTTGGTGTAGCTGGCACATCTGGTTGAGTTTTTTTAGTTTCTGTTTTTGAAAGTATTAAAAAAATTATTAGGTTAAATTAAATAAATTCACATATTTAAAAATTTGTTTTTAAAAACATGTTAACAAATAGATTTTTGGTAATAAACTGTTTCTTTAGGATTGGCAACGCTGTTTTAGTTGTCTTTATAAATAAAAGTTGCTTAAACAAATATATGGTATACAAGTTTATACAAAATTCATCTATTATGACTAAATTTCAGGCAAGCACATGCAATTATGGCTGATAAAATTTACAGTTTTCTAAGTCTTATGTCAACCATTTTCAGTCTCTTTAACATTATTTATGACTCTCTGGTAATTTTTAACTCGAATAGTAGTTGCTTACAGCTTTGATGGGAATTAATTTTCCACACACTATCAGGTGTGTGGAAAATTAATTGTGGAAAAGCCGTTTGAATCCTTGACTTTAAACGGGACACTTAATAATTACTGGCATTAATATTTTCTTCACAATAAACGATTTAAACAAACAAACTAAACAACTTTGACATAAACTCGATTTTTTTCTTTTTAATTAACTTTTCTTTTATTATTTCATTTGAAAATGTATTAAAAGATTTACTGTAATATTGAACTTTAGGCTGACTTTTGTGTTGATTTGCAAAACACTTTATTGTGTTTTGCAAATCAACACAATAAAGTGTTTTGCAAATCAACACAAAACTTAGTGCTTGCATTTATAGATGTCGTTTGTTGCATTTCGTCATCTATATTAGTTCTCTTACATTCTATTAGCTCAGTTTGTTGGTATTCCAGTCAATTTTTTTTTGTCTGCTTCTTATTTTCTGCTCTTTCAAGTTTGAAAACATTACAAATACGTTCGTAACATTTTGGATGGTAAAAATAACCCATGGCAAACCTTTCCATTTCTACAATATCTGTCATTAAGTTGAACTCCTCTTCTGTTTTAGCGTTAATAGTTCTAAAAGAAAATCTTGCCACATCTCCATTTTTATTTCGAAGCTTGCACCACCTTTTTCGTGTGCGTCATATATATATTTTTATCGCTTTAGCACTGCATTTTTTCATGCATTTATTCGGTATATCATCAAAATGAATTAAACAAATATTATCGCATAACGATGTTGCTGCCATTTTGTTTGTTTATATTTTTACCAAATGTGACAGAGATATTTTACGGAAAAATTCATTAAATAGTTTTAAATAACATTTGGTCGCTTTTGTTGCTCCGTAAATTACTAATTATCAACAATAGGCTAATCATTAGAAAACGAAAATGCACGATAAAGGAAAGTAAAATGATTGATTGTGAAAAAAGCTGCTAAGTAAAAAAAAAGGCAAGTTTATATTTTTATAATGTTTATACTAAGAAACGCTTGTATCAATATAGAAATTTCAGTTATTAGATGTATCCAACGGGATGAAGCGACTATCAATATTGGCCACCGGCCTATTAAGCAAAACGACTGATAAAAAAATAATAAACGAGTTTCAGTTGCGCCATTTTAATTTATGAAAGTTAAAAAGCTCTTTTCGCGACATCTGCCTTCCTAAATGGCAACAGGTTAATGGACTCTGATGTTGTAGAAATTATTGATGGCCTCATTGGCACAGTTAAAAAATATGAGTTGCTGGTCTCTTTTTATTAAAGTCATGCTGCAAGAACTTTTTTCGTAAGTTTTTATAAACAGTTTAAATTCATTTTATTAACGTATGATTTTGTAACAATAGGTATTCATCTTTGTAATAAACAAAAGGTTTAATAACTAAATATTGCTATATTCAAGAGTAGGTATTCATCTTTGATATAATCAATAACGAAATATTTATTTTTTTAATTTTAGATACATTTTAGCTTAATTTAGTTATATTTGCTAAAGAAAATTGGTGAAACAGAGCTGGTGTGTTATACTGCCTATGTTAAGTCTCGACGTTAGTAATTTTTTAATGTCAAAAATAAACATGGATGATACAGAAAATTTTGGAAAACTTCCATTAGAAAAACCTTTATATGTAAAGTTTTTCTGTGTTATTCCAATTTTGATTTATGAATGTACATTGAAAATGCTAACTATTTTTTAGTTTTTTGCCGTTACAAATCAGGTTACGAAATCAGACGATCACGATACGAATGTAGAAAAAAATGTTGCACAACTACAGGTACAAGATGAACAAGCGGTAGACGCTATACTAGGAAGTTTTTTGACAATGCATAAACCAGATAAAACAATGATCCAAAATATATGTTTATAAGTTTATTAATTTTATTAGTAATCTTTAATTTAATCTTAATGTAAACTTTTATTTTCTGCTGACGAGATTAAATTTAAAAAATATTTGATAGAAATTGTTACTATAAAGTTTCCAGTACAAAAAGCTTGATCAATTAATTTTTTTTAATTATTGAAGTATAAAAAAGTATAGTGCAAAAACATATTTTCTCTAAATCCCCACTATATGAAACGTATTATATAAGTTTATAACCTTTATATATAGGTTTATAAAATAAAAGTATAGTATAAGTAGTTAAGTATAAAAGTTTATAAACATATTGAAATAGCTATAAAAAGTCTAAAAAATAAGACCAGGTCTTTTATAACTGTATCTTTTTTATAAATTTCATTACTTTTTTAACTATATCTTATTTAGACTTATGGGGCTGTCCATTAATTACGTCAATAATTTTTACCTTCCCCTCCCCCTTGTCAACAATTTGTCAAATTTCCAGAGACCCCCTTAAAGTTATGTCGATTTTTTATTACTCCTCCTCCCTATATACAAAGAAGCTACGCTACAAACTCAGCCTAATTTTCCCTTATTTAAGCAATAAAACTCAAAAAAAAATATTGTTGATATCAACTTCAATTGACCTCCCCCCAGTGCCGGTTTAACCACTGGACACACTGGACACGTACGTACCGGGAGGCTACGGAATTCAAGGGACCAGAGCGTTTAAGTGAATATTTGATAGAGATGAAATTTGAACAAAAAATTATTATCAGCCTCTATCCTTGATTTCCTCTCATGTTCCAGAGATTTTTAATCTTTGCATAACAGCGCATACGACGTATTGCAAACTGGACGTTTTATTTTTTTAACAACTGGATAGAACTTTTGAGTTCAAACATAATGATGAAAAAATTAATTTAAAATAATTGGATACTTTATTTATTGCTCGTTCTTATAGGATTATCATTCCGCGAATCAGACAAAAAACTAGAATCGATGCGCAACGGAAACTTTATTGGATGTATTGAGCTATTAGTAAAATTTGATCCTTTCCTCGCCATTTGATATTTGATAACATTTGATAACTCATGGAAACAAAGGAGAACGTTGTATCTCATACTTATCTAAAAAGATTTGCAAAGAACTCATTCACTTAATAGCCACCGAGGTTATGGAATTTATAGGTAATATGATCATCATTAAGTTCATCGCTCATCGTTGATTCTACTCCCAAAATGATTATGCATTTATTCCCATGCATAATCATTTTGCAACTTACAAAATGTTTTAAAAACGTTTTGAAAAAGTTAGATTAGTATACAATCAACACTCAAAATAGCTGCGGCCAGTTATACGACAATGCCAGTAATATGTCTGATATCTACTTTGGTTTATAAGCAAGAATTAAAGAGATAAACGTTCTCGTCGAATAGATTCCGTGTGCTACTTACTATTTGAACTTTGTAGGAGTGAGTGCCGCGGTATCCAACGGAGCTGCTGTTAATTTCTTTAGCTTTTTTCAAAAAATTTACAACTTCTTTTCTGCATCAACGCATCAAAATCTTAAAGTAAAAATTCTTTGCATTACGCATCAACGCATCTTAAAGTCAAAGTTCCTTGCTGGAATACGTGTTAAAGTTACCTAGACTTTCTCACAAACTCGTTGGTTAGCTCAAGGTGATGCTTATTTACAAGGTGATTAAGAACTGTTTAGAGTTTATAAAGCCATAGCGCAACAATGTCAAAAAGGTTCAGACCCCTCCCCCCTATTGTGTTGACGTAATTAATGGACAACTCTTATATAGTTCTTATTACTTATATAAAGTTAAAAAGTTATAACGTAATTTTAACTTATATGAGTTTTAAAATTTAAATAAACTGAAATTACGTTAATTAAATCAAAGAACCCTTAGACAAGATCTAGAAGTTTAATATACGTTTACTTAGAATAATTCCAAACGCTTTATATTCGTATAATAATCCTACGTATAAAATACGTTTGAATAGAGACGTTTTATCGACGTTTGTTCTAAACGTTAATTCGCTAGCCAATTTCCCACCGGGTAAACAGGTGAGTTGTTGCTGTTTGTAATATTTAATTGTTTTGCTAATTGAAAATTCAGCATGTAGTGTTAAACTGTTTATTATTATATTCGAATAGGATAAAATAAAAATCGGGGCATCTAAAGATTTTCTGTACAATTTAAAAAGAGTTACAATAATTGATGCCGATATTGATTTTTGTGACCATCCATAATTAATAAAGTAATTAAAAAATTCTATTAGCCATTTTATTAAAGTAAAACACTTTGCGTATTTGAAATGTTTTGCTGATATAACAAAAAATTGATTATGATAATTCTCTTATGATTTTTAACAATTTCCTATCCATCACAAATTGGGAATTTATTTTAAAAAAATGAAAATTTATAATAGAGTTTATCTTATAGTCACTATTGTAACACATTTTCAACATTTAAAAAGTTGATCAAAGTAAACCCCTGCAGAATTTTTGGATATTCGAAATGTTCATTAAAAATTGTAACTTATATAAAAATTATAATTAAAAATTATAAGCGTTTTTTTGTAACAATTAAAAAGTAGTCAAAAAAGCTTTATTATATTTTAAATACAAAAAAGTTGTATTACAAATTTCGTGGCGATTTAAAAATTTATTTAAAAAAAGGCGATTTAAAAATT